AGCCAGACCTGCCACCTGCAGGAGGGCCTGGAGACTGAGGCTCTTGGTGCCGCTCTTACCTTCATGATGATGTAAAAGGCCAGGTAGAGCAGCAGAAAAGGCTGCAGACCTTCAGTGGCTGCGTGCAGGTCATGGCAGGCACCTGAGGCCCAGGGATGGACAGCTGCCCCTCCTGCCCCTCCCCTAGGCAGGCCTGTGGTCTGCCCGTCATCTGACTCGTCACCCTCCCTGAGGATGCCAGGCTACAGGCCCCACAGCGCCCCTTCCTGCCCTGACCTGTTCACAATACCAGGGGGCCTTTAGGCCTCTGCCCTCCTCCAGTGTCCGCAGTCTCTGTCCAGACCTCTGAACACTCCAGTGGGTCCCTGTCCGGGGCAGAGTTCAGCCACGTCCTGGACAACTCAGGCTGACGGTCTTGGCCTCACGTGCACCCAATGTTCCCAAGGTCCTAGCCATGACCACGGTGCCCAAGGGCCTCTCCTGGGACTCAGGCCATAGCAGCCTGAAGGTGCTGGAGCTGGCACTGCGCCCAGCACACTGCTCCCAGGCGGTCAGGAGGACAGGGGCTCCTCCCTGGGTGATGGGGGTGTCGAGCAGCCCCTCGCCTCAGTGCCCAGGAACACACAGGGCCACCCCTCTCCTCCCCCTTCCCAGAGAGCTGTACCCTCTGCCCTCTGCAGGGCCCCGCACAGTCTGCCCAGAACACAGTGGCTACACCTGGATGCACCTGCACCACTGTGGGGCACGGGTGCTCTCTGTTGCCAAGGGTCACACGGCCCTGGCCCCAGATCGCGTGTCATTGGCTGACGGCGTCGGGACATGCGGCTCGTCCCTGCGTTGTGGCTCAGCTCCAGGCGCTGCTGGGAGGGCCTGACCCGAGTGATGGAGGACAGGAACAGGAAAGAAAGAGAAGGCCGGCATGCGGCACGTGGTGTGACCTCATTTGTGAACAAACACAGAATGTAAGCTAACGGAGAAATACCATCCCCCACCTGCAAAACCAGACAAAGCTGGACAGGCCGGGACAGGTGTGGGGACCCACCTGGTTAGCATCTGTCCCTTTGCGTGTGCGGGTCATGGGTTTAAGACTGCTGAGCCCTGAGTCCTGGTGGGGGGTTCTGTCCCCCTCCTGGGGCCATGGGGCCAAGCTGGCAAAGCCCTCACGACACACGACCTTCTGACACAGCGGCCCCAATTCCAAGGCAGTACCTCGGGGACAGCCGGACAGGCGCAGCTGCAGGCAGCCCGGAGAGTGGCCGGCTCTGTCGGTGCCTTCTGCCTGTGTGGCCGCCCATGAGCCTTCACACCACCCTGGACAGGAGACCTTAGACGGGAGACGTCACCTGCCGTAGTGGAACGTGCCCCGGGGAGCCCTTGTGGTGGAGCTGAGAGGGCAGGCGTCAATCCACCGCAGGATTAAGAGGGCCTTGGAGAGGTGACGAGGACCGAGGTCAGGTGAGGAAGTGAGACGGAGCAGACACACAGACAGATGCACAACGCATGCCCCACCACGGCACGACACAGAGGGGGGAACTCCCTGTGCGTGGGCCCCGCTGCCCAACTTCCCGGCCTCGCAGCGAGTGGAACCGACCCCATCCTCCTGAGGCTCAGGCCCTGGCCATGCCCACTTCACAGATACGGACACCGAAGCTCTCACAGCTCCCTTGGCCTTGGTGCTGGCCCTCCCTGGTTTCTGGTGGTTCCCAAGAGGCTCCCCCATCCTGGTTCCAGGGAGCAGCTGGAGACCCTCTGCTGAGAAAGGTCCTGCCTCTGTCGCCGGCGCGACCTCCCCGGCCCAGCTGCGGCCCCGGCCCCACGGGCTCCCCTCCCAGCTGCACAGTGAGCCTTTACACCATGAGTGCAGGGGGAGGCTTCTGAGGCAGCTTCAAAATCTCTACTAGTCCCGTGTCCACCGGGACCCAGCCAGTCTGAGCACACGTGTGACCGTGTAGGCCATGCATGCTGCAGGTCATGTGGACATGCCTGGAGTGTGCAGTCATGCCCTGGCACACACTCAGCACCACATTGGGGACACCCCTGCCTGGGTCTGAAACATGCTCAGACGGTCTTCCCTGTCTCAGGGAAACCCTGGGCTGCTTGTGGGGGACCCAGAGCACCCCCCCTGAAGACTGGAGCACCCCACCCAGCAGCCTTGGGAAGAGAATGAGGATGTGTTCCAGAGGGCCTGTGACCCCGCTGTGGCCAAGCTACCTCCAGGTCAGCCAAGGCCTGATAGGCCCAGGCCAGCACATGCAGAGGCTGCTGGGCGCAGGGACAGCCCAGGCCCCTGGCAGGACCCCATCAGCAGCCCTCCCCAGCCCCCACCCTCCACCAGAGCTGCTGCCATGCAGACTCCAGAGGACAGTCACCACTGTCCTCCCGCAGCCCGCCTGCACCGGGCTGGATGTGGCCTGGCAGGCCCGTCCCTGGGGCCCGGGCAACTTCCTGCTGCCCAGCAGGCACCACTTCCTAACATGGGCTGGAGGGCCAGCTGGATTTACCGTGGCAGAATGCCTGGGCCTGGGCTCTGCCCCTCGACCATCAGGGCCAAGGGTCCTATGCCCACCTGGGGGCAGGGCTAGTGGGAACTGGCTGTCCCCAGGAAGGCCAGGCCAGGGGCTCTGACGGGAAGTGCCCTGGGCAGCCAGGGTCACCACCCCTTCCCCCACAGCAGCTGTCACCTCCAGGGCAGAAGCGTGCCTGG